GGCTTTTACTCTTCTCTGTCCTCTTCTCTTCGGCGGCTGCCTCGGCCCCTCCCTGCACTTCCTTCCTCCAAGGATGGCAACTGCCACTGTCCGGGCGTGTGGGCGCCGGCTCGTCCGTGCAGTGTGGTGGAGCGACACACGGCCGTCCTGGTCCCTGCATGGGGGTGGCGGCCGCACACCGGAGTCTCAGCCGGGCACACCGGGCCAGGGCCTCCCTTCTGCTGTCAGGTGTCAGGCCGAGTAGGGCAGTGGTGGGACAAGGCCACACCGTCCCTGCCAGCAGCCGCCCCAGCCTGGCCCTGCCCAGGCCCTCCTGGTTGTGAACAGGGAGGGCTGGCCGCTGACCCAGGCATCCCTCACGGGCATCTAGGGACGTGGAGGACCAGGCTGCAGACCCTGGGAGAGCTCAGCTGTCGGGGGAGGGGAGGAACTTGGCAGCAGGGGCATGGGAGGCTGGAGCCAGCATGAGGCCTGGAGCAGAAGGGGCTGGATACAGGAAGCTCACAGGAAGGCCCGTCTGTCCCCTCGTCCCTCTGTCCACCCCCACGCTGGATGGTCCCTTGCTGCGGCCGTCTGATGCCACATTCTGTGCTGTGCCTGGGCTGCTGGCATGGGGTGGCCCCCACACGTGGGCTCTGATGGGGGCCCCTGTGGGGCTGGGCACAGCCAGGCGCCCTGGGCCCTCCTGGAATTGGCAGGGTGTGCAGCAGGACCCAGGGCCTCGAGGCTCTTGGCCCGGGCTCCAGGCCTCCTGGAGGGTTTACCTGGAGGGTTTACCTGGGGGGAGCAGAGCCCAGTGCCTGCTGCTCCGCTGCCCCCTGGCTGAGCTGTGGCCCTGTACCTTGTGACCTCCAGGTCTCGGTCCATCAGCGGTGCCTCCTCAGGCCTTTCCACCAGCCCACTCAGCAGCCCCCGGGTGAGTGATCCCCCGCCCCCACACAGCCCGGATCCTCACAGGCCCCAACCCTGCCAGTCAGCGTGTGCCGGGGGGGGCAGGCCTCCGCGGACCCTGGGAAGCAGCCCCAGGCACCCCCCACGCCCGAGCTCCTGTGGCGGCTGCTGCTCTGCGGCGCGGGCTGCTCTGCTAACTGCACGCTCTTTTGTTTTTTGTTTTGTTTTGTTTGTTTTCTTGTGTGTCACTTGTTTTCTTTTGTGGCGAACCCCCCTGCCCCTGCCTGCCTGCCTCCCTGCCTGCCTCCCCACCCTCCCGCTCCCGCCCGCTTCTTTCTGGTCCTCCTGTGCTATGTGCCTGTGGGGGACTGGGGTGCACGTGCCGCGCGGCTGCCCCCGCCCCGCTCGCTCCCTGCGCCTCCCTGTAGCCTATTAGGAAGCTTGTCCTGCCCCCACCGCCCCATGAGCTGCCCTTCGTGGCCCGCCCCCTGACCACCTCCACGGAGCCCGAAGCTTGTGGGAGCGCCTCGAGGCCCGGATACGTCCTCCCTCCGCAGGCCGCCCCGCGGCCCGACCCCAAGACCCAGACCTTGCCGTGCAAGGCCAAGCTGACCGACAAGCCTCTGCAGGGCACCAAGTCCAACCCCTTCCCGGCCAGCACCCCGGCCCGGTCTCCGGCCGCCGGCCTTTGTCCCCAGCTGGCACCACCCCTGGGCCCGCCTGCCCTGCGGGTGCCCCCCCGGCCCCCACCCACTGGGATTGAACCAAACACCAAATCTGTCCCCATCATACAGGTGACCCCTCACCCCTCACCAAGGGGCAGTCCCCTCCCCACCCCCAAGGGGACGCCTGTCCACACGCCAAAGGAGAGCCCGGCCGGCACGCCCAACCCCACGCCACCGTCCAGCCCCAGCGTCGGAGGGGTGCCCTGGAGGGCACGGCTCAACTCCATCAAGAACAGCTTTCTGGGCTCACCCCGCTTCCACCGCCGGAAACTGCAAGGTGAGTGTCCGCCCGGAGGTGCCAGAGCAGGGCTGGGAGAGAGCGGAGGCCGCCCCGGGGAGGCCCCCCAGCAGTGCCAGACCAGTCCACAGGGCCTGCAGCTGCACGGGCGGCTTGGGCCTGCCCATGGCTCACTGTCCCGAAAGCGTCCAGCCGCAGCCTGTGTCGTACCTGCTGCACAGGCTGGCACCCCCTCCAGACATTGTGTTCCCGAGTCTACCCACTCCGTGTCCTGGGGCCAGGCACACAGCAAGGAGAGCTGGCCACCAAGGGGGCACTGCCAGTCAGGAGGCCCCATGTGTGGGCACCAAGGGCCAGCCAGTGCTGCTGGAGAAGGCACAGCCGACTTCAGCACCAGAGGCGGGGACAGCTCCCCCTTAGCCCCGGGGCACCATGGCCAGTGGAGCCTCTAAGGTGGCCGGGAGCTGGGCCGGGACTGTGCCCCTGGGGGACTGTCCCAGTGTGCGGGGGTGGACTCCTGATGACCCTGACCTCGGCGCAAGGTGGCCGGGGCAGGGGAAGGATGGAGTGGTCACCAGGCCTTCCCTCCTGTTCATCCCATGTGCACAGTTCCGACGCCAGAGGAGATGTCCAACCTGACCCCAGAGTCGTCTCCAGAGTAAGTGGCCCCTGCTGGAGGCCTCCTGGTACCTGACACTGGGCTGACCGGGTGAGGGGCACGGAACCCTTCCCCTGTGGCCGACGGGGGCTCCTCCACCTGGCTCCATCTCCCACTGCGGGCAGGCCCATCTCGGCCACTGAGTCTCTGAACTTCGAATACCCAGCAGTGAGGGGAAGGCCAGCCAGGGGAGGAGGCCCCAGCTCTGTTGAGAAGCTTCAGGCCTCAGGAGAGCCTGGGGTTGGCTGGAGGCGAGCGGGGGGTGCGCTGGGCAGAGTCTCCCGAGGTCCTGAGCTCACCAAGGGCAGAGACTCAGGGTCGGTCCGGTCTCACAGAGAAAGCAGCCTGTGTTAGGAAGAAAGAGGCAGCCCTGGGGCAGCAGGCCTGGTGGGAACACGTGTGCAGGGGCAGAGCAGAGCCGCCAAGCTGAGGCCCAGCCCCGCCGCCTTTCTGAGCTGTGAGAGGTGCCACTGCAGACTCTACAGCACCCAGGTGCTGCGATGCCCTGGGGGCCGCTGTGACCGACGTCCAGGCAAAGATGTCCCCAGAGAGACCCCTTCCCAGTGCCCAGGCCCTCTCCTTCTCCTCCAAAACGGCCTCAGTCACTGGGCAGTGTCTCCGTGACCAGGCAACTGCTGGCGTGCACATAGGAGCCTGCAGCATGACCCCAGGCCAGGCAGCTGCAGAGAGCGGTGGCCAGGCCCGAGTCACTTCACAGGAGACCCCGGGAAACAAGGTGTGGGCAACTGTGGACTGAGTAAGAGAAGAACCTTCATCCTACTGCTGGCTTTAAACCAGGGGCCCCCGTGGAAACTGCTCAGTGCTAAGCCCCAGGAGCGGCATCTGCAGTCTGTGCCAGGATCCTGCCCCAGTGGCCTTTCTGCGCCGGTCAGGTGGCCCCTCCAGCCGGGTGCCTGGGTCGGAGGTGTGTAGGCATCATCGCAAGCCCACAGGCACAGGGCTCAGCAGACTTGGGAACCCTCTGCCTAGGCCCTGACGTTGCCATTTCTGCTGCCACCAAAAGCTTTCATGAACAGACTCATAATTATCTCCCTCAGAGAAGGGGGCTTTGACGCCACTGCAGCTGCCTGCGCTTCTCCCCTCCCCCATCCTGAGACGGCCTGGAGGCCCTGACCCCTCCCGAGGGCCCGGCACGGACGCCTCCCACAGACCGTCTTTGGTGACGACTCGCTTGCTGGGGACCTGAGACAACCCCCAGCCCCAGCTGCCGCCAGCCCCATGTCAACCGGGCACCTCAGAGGAACAGAACCAAGGGGCTGTGTGTGCAAGGGAGGCAGTGGCTTCAGAAAGGGGCACCTGCGGTGGTTTGGGACATGCAGGGCTGCAGGCTGGACACTCAGGGCTGATGTCCTTGAGTCTGAAGCCCTGGCTGGAAGCCCAGGCAGTTTCCAGGTTGCAGCCTCGAGGGGCGTTCTTTCTCTAGGAAGACCGAACCTGGTGGATGCACCACCCTGTGAGGAAGGGTCCCCCGCCAGACTCAACAGGCGACTGATTTAAGTTCGTCTCATCTAAAAATCGCTTGGCAGCAACACCCAGACTAGCGTCCGGCCAGGCTGTGCACTGTCCACCACGTGGGTGCTGGAGTCACAGCACAGGCCCCTCACCCCTCATCGGCCTGGCCTCCCTGGGCCCTCCAGCGTCTTTCACACATGGGACTAGTTTTGCCAAATGCTGCACCCCCGGGCCTCAAAGCAGAGAGTCACGTTTGTGCCATCTTTCCTGTCTCTTCGTCGGGCAGAACGTTGACCATGCCGAAACCCGTCTGTACTTCCGAACTGCCTGGCTGCCCCGGGCGCTTCCTGGCTCCAGGTCCTGGCATAGGGGGAGGGGGTAAGGTCAGGGCCAGAGCTGGCCCTCGGAGCTTTGCACCCACAACAGCCAGCCAGCAAGACCAGCAGGACACTGGGGCGGCACCGAGGGGCTGAGCGATGGCTGGGCCCGGTCCCCGTGCTCGTCTAGGAAGATTCCTGGGCCTCACAGGGACGGCCACAGTGGCCAACGAGGCACCTCCAGGAATGGGCAAGGGAAAGGGGAGTTGAGAGGCCGCTGGGAGGGGCCTCAGAATCAGTCGGGAGAGGGCACCACTGAGCCCCAGCCCTGCTGGCGCCTCCTCCCGGTCCCTGCCTCTGCCTCTCGGTGCACCTGGTTCCACCTCCAGGCAGCAGCCGCATGGGACGCCGGCAGCGCGAGCCACCACCGCGAACAGCCACCCCGTGCGCTCTGCCTGAGAGTCTCAGGGGCTGTGCTAGAGGCGCCCCTGGCCGTGGTCCTCACGACTGGGCTTCCTGGCTCCCTCGCTGGTGGGTAGGGTTTGGGTGCCCTCGAGCTGGAGAGCAGAGGGCCTCTGCACGTTGGGGTGAGCCTGCCAGCAAGACAGCAGCGCCTCCCCGCTCTCCTGTTGGAAGCGAGTTGCAGGCCCCGCCTGCTCCTGGGGTGGGTGGCACAGGTGACTTCAGGAGCCCAACTTGAGCCACCTCTCACAGGGGCCTTGGTGAGGAGGGCTCACCTGTGGAGGGACATTCCCAGACTTGGGAGCGAGTGGCAGGTCGGCAGCCGGGCCAGGGGTAGGGAGGGGTGTGGGGCAGCTAGGCGGGCTGGGCAGGTGGGTGGTGCCAGCCGTTGTCACTGGGCCCTGAGTCCAGCAGAGGAAGTGATGTCAGTCAGGCCTGCCAGTCATGAGGTTAGCAGCACTGCCCTAGCCCGGGGTGGGGACCTCCCACCGTGGTGGCATCTGGGAGCCAGGGTCTGCGTGGCTGTGGCAAGCCCTGAACCACCCTTCCCCAGCCAGCCTCAGAGGTCTGGAAGCGATCTGTCCTCTACAGGGTAGGGACCGGCCCTGCCAGGCTGGAGCCACAGGGAAGCCACATGGCCACACGTGCTAAACACAGGAGGGCAGCCCCAGGGGTGCTGAGGCCGCCCTGTCTGGTGGGAGGGCACGCAGCTCCCGGTGTCTGTGCTGTACCTGTCCTGCCGCTGCCTGCATACAGCTCCCTGGTTTTCCCAGCTCCAGGCTGGGCACCTCAGCCAGGAGGCCACTGGGCACCTGACTAGGGCTCAGCCAGAAATGGAGAAGCAAGGGCAGGGGCAGGGGCCACCCACTCCCTCCCCTTTCCTTCCCAGTGGGGGCTCCAGCGAGTGCTGCCCGGACACAACTCTTAGGGAACCAAGAGGGGCCAGTTAGGGCCATGGAACCTGGCTGGGCCATGGGCCAGGGTTAGGGCATTAGGGCTTGGATAAAGGTTATGGTTAGGGCTGGCGTTGCTAACGGTGATGGTCAGGGCATACGGGCCAGGGTTAGGGCGCTGGGGTCAGGGCCGTGGGTTCTGCGGAGACGGCCGTGTCCATCACGCAGGAATTGAGGATTCCACTGTTCCAGCCCCAGGTTCGAGGGAGGCAGGGGTGTGGACAGCACCACGCCTCAGTCCTCACAGCCTCTGTCTCCCGCTGCCCAGGCTGGCCAAGAAGTCCTGGTTTGGGAACTTCATCAGCCTGGAGAAGGAGGAGCAGATCTTCGTGGTCATCAAAGACAAACCTCTGAGCTCCATCAAGGCTGACATCGTGCACGCCTTCCTGTCGGTGAGGCCACAGGGCGCCAGGGGAGGCGGGCAGCCCTCCCAACCCCACGCCGCCCAGCCCCGAGAATCAGGCTCCTCACTTAGACGGGACACGTCCACACACACAGCACGGACGTCCACTCGGCTGTGGGCCGGCCTGGCTGCCTTCACTGGACAGGCACTGTCTCCCGCCCAGCCTTCCGAGGGAGGGTCCCTGCCCGTCTGGGGCACTTGGCCTGTAGAGGGAGTCAGGGCCTTGCTCACTGGTCCCCAGCAGCCCTAGGTGTGTGCTGGGCGGGCCTGGGCAGCTGGCACGTGGGGCAGAAGGAAGGCTCCAGCTGGGTGGGCCTCAGAGGGGGACGTTTCCATGAGACTTAGGGAGAAGCCCTTGTGAGGCCGTGACCCCAGGGACCCGTGGGGCTCTCACCCCCAGGCCTCAGGTATCTCGGTTTCCCTGGTCTCACCCTGCCCTCGGAGGCCGGGTGGCTCTCCATGGAGTGACCGTGCTCAGGGTCTTCGGTGGGCTTCGTTTGTCTCTGCTGGGCATCTTTGGGTTAGGAGGAGCAGAAAAGCCCCTCAAGCCTCAAATAGAGAAGTTTCATTGCCAGGACTCCAGCACCCAGTCCCATCAGGAGGCCCCTTCCTTGTCGGCCCCGCCCCACCCTGTACTGCAGCCAGTGCCGAGGCATCACAGGGGCTGCCCCCACCTCCCCCGCCGCCCCCCGCCTGCCTCCCCAGGGCTGCTGTCCTGCTCTGTGCTCACTACGCCCAGGCCCCAGGATCTTGGCAAGATCAGGCTGTGGCTCCCTGCGGCAGCTCTAGCTGGGGGCTGGCCTCCACCCCACCTGACGCTCTGCCCCCAGGCACTCAGGCCGCTGCTGCTCTGGCTGCAGCTGAGGTTCCCTTAGCGCCGTGGGGACAGCTTGGAGCCCCTGCAGAAGGCTCCAGGGCCAGGAGAGCCCAGCGCTGGGCAGGCTTCAGGCTGCACTTGGACCCCGGCCTCGGGGACCCTCAGCGTCCCCGTCCCCACAGGCTGCTCACTTCTTTGGGCCTCCTCCCTCACCACATCCCTTCATGCTGCCCCTGGTTGCCACAGCCAACCTCAGACTCAGTGGTGGCCTCAGCCCCTCCCCATGCCAGCCCCAGTAAAGCGGCCGTGTGCCAGCCTGGGCCCCATGCGCTGGGTGGCCCTGAGTTCTGCTTCCTGCAGCTGCCCCTCGGTACTGTGGAGCCCACACAGCCAGTGCCCAGCACCGTAAGTCCTGCAAGCGGTGGGAGTCCCAGGAAGCCCCAGCAGGAGGGCACGGCCCCAGCCCTGCCCTGGCACCTCCCTCTCAGTGACAGCTCCCAGACTCCCCACCTCCCACTCAGCTCCACCTCGGACCCCACCTCAGGCTGCAGGGTCACCTCTCACCTCCATCTTTGCCCGTAAGGCTCCTCTGTGAGGTCCTGGCCGTCCTGCGCTGTGGCCGCGTGAGAAAAGTCCACGGCAGGGGTTCAGCCGCCCCCGCTAAGGGGACCAAAGCTTTGGAGGGTGGGGGCTGGAAACGGCCCTCTCCCTGCTCCGACCGTCTCCACCCGCGCTGTGCCCCTCAGATGTGGAAGCAGAGGTGCCTGGGCGCTCACAACGTGTGCGCGGTGGGGCTGGCTCGCCCCAGGGCTGCCTCCCCAGAGAGCCAGGGTGGGACCTGCCAGGCCAGCCGAGCTCACACTGCTCCCTCTGCACAGATCCCCAGCCTCAGCCACAGTGTCATCTCCCAGACGAGCTTCCGGGCCGAGTACAAGGCCACGGGGGGGCCAGCCGTGTTCCAGAAGCCTGTCAAGTTCCAGGTGGATATCACCTATACGGAGGGAGGGGAGGCACAGAAGGAGAACGGCATCTACTCCGTCACCTTCACCCTGCTCTCAGGTGAGCGGCGCCCCCGGGGCGGCTCCGGGCCCAGGCCTGTCCAGGGCGTAACCCCCTGTCTCCCCTAGGCCCCAGCCGCCGCTTCAAGAGGGTGGTGGAGACCATCCAGGCCCAGCTGCTGAGCACACACGACCCCCCCGCGGCCCAGCACTTGTCAGGTGAGGCGGGCTCAGCTCCAGCCAACCTGCAGCCTGCGAGTGGGGCGTGGCCAGCTGGTGCTGCGCCGACGGGAGGCCTGAGAGCCCTGGCGCAGCCTCCTGGCCCGTCTTGACGGATGCCCCCGCCTTCCTGCCCCAAGCTGTGGCTGCACCCCTCAGGGAGCAGGGCCCCCCCCCGGCCCGGCGGGACCCCCCGCCTCGCCTCTGCACGCCAGGGACATAGGGCGCGGCCGCACCACACTGAAAGGCGCCTCTTGTCCACTGTAGAACCCCCCCCACCAGCGCCAGGACTAAGCTGGGGTGCTGGGCTTAAGGGCCAGAAGGTGGCCACCAGCTACGAGAGTAGCCTCTGACGCTGGCAGGTAAGGCGCCCGGCCTGTGCTGGGGCGGGGAGGGGCTGCGGGCAGGTCCTCGGCGGAGCCAGGCTGGTCCTGAGCAGGGCCCTCCATGCCCACCCACAGGTCTCGGCCCTGGACAGGCCAAGCATGCCCCGGGCGGCCCATCTGCTAGGGAGCCAGACACAGGGCAGCCCGCACAGGCCCTGGGAGAGCAGTGACAAGGCCCTGTCCTCGAGGCTCCCCGCCATGGCACCCTAGGCGGGCCGCGGGCTGCCTCATGGGCTGTGACTTCTCATCTCTCCATACTTCCTGACAGCCCAGGGCCATGCCTCCAGCAGGGCAGAGGGGCTTGAGCACAGCCAGAGCTGGGGCTTCACCACAGCCTCAGGGGCTTGTGCAGGGGAGGGTCGCCCCAGCCTGGAACCACCAGGGGCCAGGAGCCCAAGGGTCCATGCCACTTGGCATCCTGCAGGGAGGGCTCCCCCCGCTCCCCTGGGCCCACGTGTGGTGGGGGCAGGGCGGAGCACTGGGCACATGCATGGGCCTGGTCTGCCAGCAAGGGTGTGTGGGCGCGCCTCTGAACAGCGGTGTGGCGTGGGAGTGCTGGGCGTCATGTGGGGGGAGCACCCGGCTGGACCCTGGGGGGCCCCTCTCCTGGCCTGCATCTCTGCAGCTCTGTGGCGTGCTAGGTCACCTCCTGTGTTTTCCGTGTGGGGTCCTGGAGGCCATAGAGGGCCCCCACCCCGCCCCCGTCATCCTCATTCCATCCTCATTCCATCACCTGTGGGAGCCCCCCCCAGAGTGTGCTTCACCCCACTGCGGGCTGGGGGCTGAGGTCCCTAACAGCCCTGGCCCTAGCCGAAGCCCCAGTGGGTGGAGGAGTTGCCCCCTTCTCCTGATTTTGGGAGCCAGGCTGGCACAGCGGGCAAGGAGGAGCAGGGTTCCAGGTGCTCAGCCCCGCAGATAAATGTGGCTCTGCCCTACAGTGGAGGCTGTGCCATCGGCCGGCAGCAGCTTCTGGCTCTCTGAGCCTTGAAAGCCTTCATCTTAGGAAGGGAAACCAAGGCCAGGGAATGACAGGGCAGCCACCAAGGCCAGGGACGGACCGGCTTGTCCAGGAGGGCAAGCAGAAATGGGCCCCGGGTGCTGCCCAGGGTGTCCCTGCACCTGAGCAGCCACAGGGATGCCTCAGGCTGCTCCTTCGTGGGCTGTGGGCAGAGCTCCCCCAGCCTGGCCCTGCAAAGTGTGGTCCTGCCTGTCAGCACATACCACTCCCCACCGAGCCAACTCCCAGCCCCTCTCCATTCCTGCCCTGGACCCTGACCTCAGTGGAGCCCATTGCAGAGGCTCTCGGGGGCCTATTCTGGGCCCCACCTGTCTGCCTTTGGACTTGAGGGGCCCAGCCTGTCCCCATGATCTCGCTACACCCAGCCCTGCCCCCCCCCCCCGCACATTGGACGCTTTTGTCCAGTGAGCCCAGCTCCAAGGACGTGTGGAAGGTGTCTAGCCAGCAGGGGGCCTCCTCAGGCACTGCCCACCCTCCTGGAGACCCCAGCCCGGCCGAGGAGGGGGGCTCAGAGCCCCCAGTGAGCAGGCACACGCAGACCAGGGCATGTGTCCACCCTCTGCAGGCGCCAGAGAGGGCCTCGAGGGAGCAGCTCCTCCCAGGGCCTTGCTCCCATCCCAGTCCTGGCCTGGCAGCACCAACATCCCCAGGCCCAGCAGCAGGGGAGAGGGTTGAGAAAGAGGGTGCCCGCCTTGAGTTGAGGGGCAGCTGGAAGCCACAGGGTCCTGGAGCTGCCGAGTGGCACAGTGAGGATGCATAGTGACCGACGCAGGCCACGGCCAGGGCAGGGTTGTCAGCCCATGGGAGGTTGCCAGGCCCACCCAGGGCACCAGCCATATCCAGGCTCAGGCTCAGGCTGCTGGAGGACCTGCTGCTGCCCAGGTGGCTCCGCCTTGTTTCCCGCCCCCGCAGCCCCACGTCACTCCAGGCCCTGCCCCCTGCACTGCCCCTTCTAGGCCCCGCCCCCTCTGGCTCTGGCCCCACCCAATCCCTCCCCCTTTCCTCCGGGGCCCCACCCACTCCTGGCTCTGCCCCCTCCCCATCGAGGCTGTGGGCGTCCAGCCAGTCGGAAGGCGCGGGGCGGCCTTTCACTCACTCCCTCCCTCCTCTCTCCATTCTGTGCTCCAGACACCACTAACTGTATGGAAATGATGACGGGGCGGCTTTCCAAATGTGGTAAGAATCCCCCACGCTCACCTGGCGCCTCCGCCTGCCACTCCACCGCTCACCCTCAGCCCGCTCTGGCCAACCCGCCGCCCCGGCTGTCTCGGCTTCCCTGTGTAAGATAGACATAGGCAACCAGCAGCCCAGATGTCCCGGCCCATCCGCTACCGGGAGCAGCCCAGGTCGCTCCCCTACCACAGTGGGCCCAGGCGGGGCTCCTGGCCAGACCCACCTCTGCCAGGTCCTAGGATCGGGGCAGGCCCAGGAAGGGGCTCCCAAGGCCTGAAGCCAGTGAGGGTCCCAGTGGTGCAGGCTGTGGCCTAGGTGCCCATCCCTCTGTCCACTGGAGGCTGTGCCTGGCAGGGAGCTCAGGATTCAGGTGGTGGTCAGGCTTAGGAAGTGGGATTGACGTGCCTCCATTGGCACACCTGGGCAGTGAGCGCAGGGCCCCAAGAAGGGTGGGCTGCCCATTTCCGCCCCTGTCCTCAGGACTGCCCCCATCCCAGGGACCCGGGACATGACTCTAGCTGCCTGTCCCCAGACCCCCAGCCTGCCTCCCACACCCACCCCCTCCATGCCTGTCCACTCATCTGTCCATCTGTCTGTCTGCTGCTGAACTGTGTCCAAGCTGGTCAGGAGTCGGGCTTCAGGCCTCTCTGGGGAGGTGTGGTGGGCACGCCCTCTCCCTGTCTTCCACTGGGCCTCACACAGTGGGGCCAGCAGCTGCCCCCAGGGTCCTTCGAGGCTGCAGAGCTCCCAGCAGGCCCTTGTCTTGACGCTGTCATCTCTGGAGTGGGGTGGGCTGTCCCTCACGGCTGTGAGGTGGGGAGGCAAGGGGGCGGTGCAAGGCCTTCCGGGCCAGGCCTTGGTGGGGAGGGAGGGAGGGGTCTCACCACCTGCCCCGAGCCTCACTTCGCCAAAGGAGCCCCGGGTCCTGCGCAACAGCTCGGAGGCACTGGGGTCCTAAGCTCCTGGCCCCACGGCGCACAGCTCCCCCACCGCACAGCCCCCCAGCGTGCAGGGCCCCTGCCGGCTGCTACCTGCCCACCCCGCTTGCCGCCCGCCGGCTCCGCTCCGCCCCATCTCAGCCTCATCTCTGGGTTCTCTCCCTCGTCGAGGCCCCTTTGTTCATTTGTTTGTTTGTTCTCTTTCTCTCTCCTTCCCTCCCTTCCTCTTTCTCTCCCCCTTTTTTGTTCTTTTTTCTTTTGTTTTTTTTTTTTTTTTTTGTCTCTGTTCTGTGTACCCAGGCAGCCCATTGAGTAACTTCTTTGACGTAATTAAACAACTTTTTTCAGACGAGAAGAACGGGCAGGCGGCCCAGGCCCCCAGCACGCCCGCCAAGCGGAGTGCCCACGGCCCACTCGGTGACTCCGCGGCCGCTGGCCCTGGCCCCGGAGGGGACGCCGAGTACCCAACGGGCAAGGACACGGCCAACACGGGCCTGCCCGCCGCCCGCCGCGAGCAGCCTTAGACACACTAGCCTCCCCCCCCCAGCACAGCACTGACAGCGGCTGCCTCGCCGCCCGCCGCCCGTCCTGCCCCAAGTGGACCCGCGGCCGCGCCGCCCGTCCATCCAGACTGTTCTCAGAGCCTGGGAGGAAAGGAAAGAGGCGCCGGGGCCGGCCTGTGGGCTGTGCCACCCGCGCCCGCTCTCTCTCCTCTCTCCTGTCTCTGTCTGTCTTTTCTCTCTCCTGTCTCTGTCTCTGCCTGTCTCTGACAGCGTCGCTTGTTTCCACTCTGATACCAGGAATTATCCCGAAAAGTTAACATGTCACCTCCACGAGGCCATCCTCTGTGACCGAAGGCAGCTGCTGCGGACCCGCCCTCCCTCCGCTCCTGCTGTTGCTGCCAGGCAGCGAGGCCCAGCCCAGCGCCCTGTCCACCCCGCGGCAGCTCCTCGCCTCAGCTCCGCACGGCCCGTGGGAGGAGGGCCAGGCTCGGGGGAGCCTCCTCCAGCCCGGCCGACCCGGACTCCCGGTCACCTGACCCCTCAGCAAGAACAGCCTGCCTGGCGGCCTTCTGGGGCCGGGACCCCCGGTGGGCAAAGTAGCCACAGGAACAGACCCCATCCACCCCGTCCACCGCCTCCACGCCGCACCTGGAGGCCTCCTCGCGCCTCGCGGCCCATGCCCCGCCTCCCTGGCCGTGCCGCCTCCGCCTCCGTGTAGTCTTGGCCTCCTCAGGCTGCCTCCCGCCCTCTCGTCTCACCTGCGCCTCCCTTGCCTCATCTGGGGCAGCTGTGGGCTCTGGCACTCCTCCCTGGCTGAGGTGGAAACAGAGAGACCCTAGGGCGCCAGAGCCTTCCCAGCAGGCCAGGTCGCTGGGCTGGGATCAGTGTTATTTATTTGCTGTTTTAATTTATGGATTCTCTACACCTCTGTTCAGGGAAGGGCGGCGGCCGCATCCCCTGCCGTCTGCCCATCTCAGGCGGGGTGGGGTCTGGGGCCAGGGCGCCCTCTGAGGACAGAGCTGGTGGGGCGTGGGGCAGCTGGTGAGCTACTGTAAACTTTAAAGAATTCCTGCAAGATATTTTTATAAACTTTTTTTTCTTGGTGGTTTTTGGAAAAGGGTGTGGGGGTGGGGGCGCCGCTGGGACAGGGCCAGGTTTTGTGTTTCAGTCCCTTGCTCCCGGTTCTTTCTACACACACATCTAAGATGGTGCGGTTCGCTCTGTCATGGGTTCCGTTTCTCTGCGGAGAAACAGCTCCACCTGTGGGGGCTCGGGGCAGAGGGGCAGCGTCTCGTAGCGGACGGCAGCGCCAGCGCCCCTCTGTCGAGACCCAGGCTGGGGCGATCTTGGTTTTGTGTCCAAGGATGAAGGGGTAGGAGGAAGGCCCCCAGCTGGCCCTCCCCACACACAGGACGGCAGGGGCACGTGGGGCTTTTCTTACTAAAATTTTAAAAAGTTGAAAAAAAAGGACAGAAAGTGTCGGTGGCGCTCCTCCGCTGGGCGTTCTGTGCAGAGCGAGGCCCAGGGTGTGGCCTGGAGGGGGCTGCAGGCCCCCCTGCCCAGTGCCCACCGCCGTGCTTCACTCCAGCTCCAGCTTCTGCGTTCCCTTCTGCCCACGTGCCCGGCCCTCCCAGGCGGGCACAGCCCGGATGCAGCGGCCATGGGGGGCGGCGGGTCTGATGCATGCCTCTGCCGTGGAGTCTGTCTGCTTCAGTGCCTGCCCTGCCTCCCACCCACCTCGTGTGTACATTTTAACGCTTCTGTTGACATGAGACCTCTGCCACAGGCTGGGATTTCTAGACGTAAGAACAAAAGCAAACGCCTAGGACAGCAAACGCCAGGCGGCCCAGGCGGGAAGGGGCTCTCCACGGAGATCGAGGACACGAAGCACAACGCCTCTTGCTCGCCTTCCCCTCTTGTGCTTCAGACACGCGCGGACTCCAGCAGGCGCCACGGAAATGGGCGAGCCCCCACAGTGTATCCCTGTCGTAACTGTGAGCGACTGCAGCTCGGAACAATAAATCCCTTCCGCAAAGACAGCGACGCAGGTCTTCCTCCGGGCAGGGCGCGCGCGCAGGGCTCTGGGACAGCCCGGGACAGCTTCCTGTTCCCCACTTGCAGCCCCTGGGCTGCGCCAGTGTGAACGCAGCTACCCTCTGCCCAGCTGAAGAGGGCGAGGGTCCGGGCAGCCAGGGTCAGAGGTCACTTCCGATCCCCTGAGGCTGCCCCAGCCTGAGGCGGGCTCCCGTTGAGGGCCAGGGCCGGGGCAGAGTGCTCTTTACATGGCACCTCTGCCACTACAAGGCCTGCATGGGCCACCCCAGGCCTGGGCCTTTTCCTGGAGAATGAGCCGCCTTCCCGCTCCTCACTTGGGAAAAGGCCGGACAGGGTGCCATGACCCAGCCTTGGGAGTGAGGGGCCCAGGCTGAGCACAGCCCCAGGAGCTAGAGTGGGGATGGTCCCAGGCATGCCTGCCACAGAGGACAGCCAGGGCCGTGGGCTCCACTGGGCACGACGCCCTGGCCCAGCTGCCCCTCTGCCGCCGCCGAAGCCGGAGGGCGAGTCCAGGCCCATGCTGTATGAGGCCAGTGGCTGGGAGTCCACCGCAGCCTGGAGGCGGCCAGGAGCAGGCCTCAGGAGGGTCCAGGCAGACGGCGGCATCCACAGAGCTGCCCTGGGAGGCGCACGCCCACGCACACTCCCCTCCCGTGTGAAGGACTCGGGCATGGCCGGACTGCACCCAGCTGTTTATCATTGGAGCAGGTGCTAAGCACACGGCGGCTGCGGTGGGATGACGATGGGGTGGGGGCCACATCCCTGGTCTCAGTCCAACAGAAGCTAGTAGCTGTCCCACCTCCACTGTGACAAAACATTCCCAGACATTGCCATGAGTCTCCTGGTAGGGGACAGAATCACCCCCAAGTGAGAGCCACTGCCCTGAACTTCAAGCTGTGCCTGTACCCATCTCTCTGGAGGGAGCCAGGGGGTCACCATGTCTGTCAGGCTTAGCTAGCTTGGGGCTCCACTCAGAGCCCGGGACACGGAGGGAAGCTGAGCCATCCCGTTTGATCCTGGACTGCCAAGTGGCGAGCTCACAGGAGGTGCGTACCCCAAAGAGAAGGCACTTGGGAGGGGCCCAGGGAATTAGACTCCATTCCAATCCCTGGATTATCCAGTTTCCCGGCTCATTTTACCTTAAGAAACAGGCTGAGGAAAGGAATTTGGCTGCTACAGTTCAGCGAAGCAAGGACGGTCTGTGGGGTCACAGGCTGCCGGCCCCAGACCGGAAGCCTTCCTGACCTGTGGTCCTGCACCTGCTTCTCTGAGTGGCTGACACACACACTCCTGGTCCTCCTCTCGACATTCACGGTGAGAAGCCAGCCTTCTCAGGCACATGACCGGAGGCCCAAAAGGAAACAGCCTGTCAAGAACCCTGCCAGCTCCCCAGTCTGCTCAGGAAGGGGCTGTGTCCTGTAGTCCCACTTCTGACACCAAGCTCTCTTGGTTGTTAAGTAACAGAACCCAAAGCGAGCTAAGCCAGAATCTGCTGGTATTTCTATAAAAAATGAAAACAAATATGGCAGGACTTCTGATGTGGCAGACACTAGTCTCGCTTTACACCAGTCGGTCCTCACATCATTTCTATGAAGAAATTAAGATGGAGATTGAAAAAGGATGTGGTGGTCGGTCTGCCCACCTAGAGGATGGCTTCGCAGTCCTGGTCCTCAGTTCTCAGGTGGCACATCTGGGGTCAGAGCCTGCCACGGCCTGGCCTGCGAGCTGGGGCCCTGCTGAACGAGCCTACTGGTGAGCCCACCCATGGCATGACAGGTGGGTGGTGGGGACGAGTCTGACGCCTCCCGCACAGGACGTGGCCCCAGCACGCAGAAGGTGGCTGCTCCAGGGAGGGGCCCTGCACACAGCAGTCCTGGCCTGGCTCTGCTCTGTGGAGAGCCTGCGCTGGGCTGTTCCCAGTCCGCTGAGGGCAGAGGCGCAGAGCCCCGGCCTCCTAAGCTGTAAGATGAAATGACTCCTCGTGTTACAAAGCCTCAGAGCTTGCAGGAGGAGGCCGACGCCCGTGTGCCGGCTGCAGGGTGGGACGTTCCAGCTGCCCTGCTCCCATCCCCTGCCAGGGAGCTCACCACAAGTGGCCTGGCCCTGCCACCCCGTCCTGCCTTCCTCCCTCCCTCCAGTGGTGTGGTGCCCAGGCCCTCTGCCCTAAGTCCAGTGCCTCCCCACTCGCTCCAGTGACTTCTCCCCCTCCCACCTCAACTCCCCGCCACCAACCCAGGTCTCTCGGTGTGATACGGCAAGGGGTCGGGGTCCACAGAGAGCCAGAGAGGAGGCAGCCGGCAACAGAAGGGAGAGAGAGCGCAACCTTCCAGGCAGCGGGGCCTGCTGGAGAGTGGGCAGGGCTGACAGACGTGCAGGGAACACGACCCGGGGAGCCATGTTCGTGGCCAGACGGGCCTGGGAGACTACGCTGTGGGTCTCATGCCGGGGGGTTGGGCCCTCCTGTGCACCTGCCCCTAGGACCCTGTAAGAACACCCTGGCCTGTTAGGTAGATGCATCGTCTCCTGTGGTTTCCTATCACCGCCATAGTTAAGTTATTGCAAACTAAGAAGCTTAAAACACCAGTACCTCACAGTCCCAGAGTCAAGGACTGGGCAGGTCTCACTCAAGGGGGTCTGCCTGGTCTAGAATCAAGGTGTGCTCCTCCTGGAGGCTCCAGGGGAGGACCTGTGGCCACCTGCATCCCGGGACCAGTGGAGACCGGTGGGGTCTCCACCTTCGCAGCCAGGAGCGTGGGTGGAGCCTCCTCACAGCTGTGTCCTGCGCGCCCCAGCCTGCGTCCAGCTTCCACAATGAAGGCCGCGTGCTCTCACTGGGCCTAGACCACCTCTGCCTCTCAAGGTCAGCTGACTGCCTTAATCCCATTGCTGCTTTCATTCCCCTTTGCTGCCGGGGGGCACGTTCACTTCCACAGGACTAGATGTGGACACAGCCAGTGGTGAGGGATGTCTTAGGCTGACCACAGTACCCTCCCGCTCCCCCTGCTTCACACCCATGCCACGTGCGAATGCATCCCTCCCCTCGCGGCCCCAACAGTCTCCACCGAACACGGCACCCAGTCCCGTCCCAAACCTCACGTTCAGCTCATCAGTTTACAAGTCCCAAGTCGCACCCTCTAAGCCACCCCGATCAGGTATGGGTGACACTCTGGGCCTTCCACCCAGGGGCAGTTTCCGCTCCATCTGTGGACCCCAAAAGCTAGAAAACCAGTTACCTGCTCCCAAAATACAACTGGAGAACAGACGCGGAATGCCAGTCGCAGACACTCCTGTTCTCAAGGAAAGTCTGGCTGGGTGTGCTGGTCCAGCACTTTGGGAGGCTGAGGCAGAAGGGATCACCGGGGCCCAGGGGTTCAAGACCAGCCTTGGTAGTGAAACTTCACCTCCACAAAATATTTCAAAACCAGCCAGGCATGGTGGCTCGCACCTGTGGTCCTGGCTGCTCATGAGGCTGAAGCGGGGGAAGTCTGAGGCTGCAGTGAGCGCTCCAGTTTGGGTGACGGTGAAACCCAGTCGTTTATACGTGCACACACACACACACACACACACACACACACACACACGCGTGACATACAGAGAAAGCTGCAAGGTGCCTGTGTCGCTGCTCCCAAGAAATCCAAAATCGAGCTGGGCATACTCCCTCGGGTCCCGGCAAGGCCTGGGAACTCCTTCTGTGGGTCCAGACTCTGCCTCTGTGCTGACACCTCCACCCTCAGGGCCACGCTCTCTTTGCATGAAATGTGGCAAGTGTTTGCAGCTGAACAGTTTAGTCTGCTTCCTGCCTGCTGATTTTTGGGGGCCCAAGAACCTGTCCTCACATCCCCTCTGCCTCAGTCCAAGCCAGCCAAGCCTCTGATGGTGTGAGAGCCGCACGTCGTTTCCACGGGGCTTTCCTCCGTAAGCCCCGAGGCTCGTCCGCAGACCTCCCACAGCTGTCCCTGCTTTCAGCATCTGCTTGGGTGACCCGGAGCATCCACCAGCCACAGGCTCGCCCTCCTCCAGGAGCTCCTGGTGTGGCCGTGACTCCAAGCACACATTCCTGACAGTGAATCCCCTGACATCAGCATCTTTAGCTGAGAATTCCCGACGGCAGGGTGCTCACCCCTCTGCTAATGTCCTTCCCTCACTTGGCTGACCTCAGCAGCGAAAGGGGGCCAGGCTGACCGCCCGCGAGTGCGGCCCACACATGGCAACGGGACAGAGTACAGCTGTGCCTCTACCCCCATCGACAGGGCTCTCCCTGGCTCCCGTTCCTTCCTTTCCCTCTAGCTCCCACCTGCACCTTTAACCCCACATGTCTGAGGATGGGTGGGTCACAGCAGCTGTGACTCTTCTCAAAGCCCAGGCCGGTTCCTCCGAGCCCCTGGAGCCCCACTTGCCTCCATCCTTCTACCACCTGTTTAACAACATCACAGGCTTTTTCTATCACCCTCGAAATTCTTTCAGCCTCTGCCCGATTCCAAAGCCACTTCCACCTTCCTAGGTGTTTGCTACAGCAGCGCCTCATGCCTCGAACCAAAATCTGCCTTCATCTCCTGTTGCTGCAGTTGCCATGAACTTCGTGGCTGGAGGCAAAACGACCTTATCTCAAACGGGCCTCACTGGGCGAGTCAGCAGGGGCGCTTCTTTCTGGGCTCCTTCCTTTCCCAGCTTCTAGGAGCTGCCTGCGCTGCTGACTCAGGCCCTTCCCACGCTGCCTTCCTGCTCAGTGCCCTGGGCCCTCCCGACAACACTGGGCCCATCCAGATAACCTCCCCATCCCCAGGTCAGTGATCGGAAACCCGATTCCATCTGCGACTTCCATCCTCCTGTGCTACCTAAGGAGACAGTCTCTCAGGATTAGGACACGGATCTCTTTTGGGGACCATCATTCTACCTTTCAGAACAGAGACCTCAGAGACTGGGGGAGCTGGGGGGTGAGGGCTGAGCCCTCACCACTGAGACCCCCCTCAGTGTACAGGCCTCCTGTTCACAGAAGGAAATGGAGGCAGAGGCAGGGAGGCTTGGCCAGGACTCCAGGTCTTGCAGCGAGAACCCTTCCCAGCGGAGGACGGCGCACAGCAGTCCCCTCAGCCAGGAGCGGGACGGTCCACCAGCCTGTGGCCTAGCAGCAGGCGCCCCCAACACCCAGCGCCAGCCCTCATCCCAGGAACCCTTCCCAAAGGGACTTGTGCCCGCAACTCCCATGTGCCCTGGGGACCCTGCAGCTGCATCCTGAGAGGGAGACCGGCATGAATGCGCGCCCTGGACACCTCCTAAGGCCGTCCCGCAGGCTCCACACACATTTCATCTGAGGCTCCAGCTGGAATCCCAGTGTCCTCCTAGCCCCTCCAGGCCCTGTGGAGCCGGTCCCCAGCCCCTGTGCCCCGCAGCACTCTCAGTCCAATCTTCCTCCTGGCCTCCGCTCGGCAGCCAGGCCCCAGGTTTGCCAGCATACAGCGACCCAGGCTGTGTGCCCGGTTGGCTCCCTGTGGCCTCAGCCAGGAGATCCGTGCACACCCCAGCCAGGAGCCTTAGCCAGAGAGGGCAGCCCCACCAGGCCACCCGCCTCCGTTCTTGCCCTCCCTTGCCGGGAGACCTCCTTGCTGCCTAGGCCAGCGCTGGTCCCTGCCTCAGGCTCCTACACTCAGCCCCTTCAGTCAAGTTCTGTGGGTGTCCTGGGGCCTCCACTCTGGGGGTCCACGCAGAGCATCGGGAGACAAGGGCAGGTGGCGCCCAGCAGGCCTCCCTCTGGGGGGTCCACACAGAGCATCAGGGGACAAGGGCAGGTGGCGCCCAGCAGGCCTCCCTCTGGGAACTGGGTTTGGCTCCAGGCACTGACTCACTGTGTGGCCCAGAGTCACAGTCAAGTGTGGGCCCTCGCGGGGAGGTGGTGGGCGTGGATGTCGGAGGAGATGCCGCCAGCTGACTCCAGCCATGTTGAGAAACCCAGAGGCTGTCAGTTCTTGAAGTGGGAGGCAGAGACAGGGCAGGGGAAGGGACTCTGACCTGCAGCTCGGTCCCTGGGAAAGCCAAGAACGGGCCTGTTGGCCACAGGTGCACCATGCAGGCTGAGCCCGAGGCCAGGGGAGCACCATGACCTGGACAGGCCCCACTAGCTAAGCAGGGGGCAGGGGGCTGCACGAGGTCACTGTGCAGCAGGTGCCACTGGCAGGGACCCACAGTCCTGAGGTCTGTACCAACTAGGCCCTGACCCGGGAAGCCCCCTCTTCCCACTTCTCAGCCCACTCAGGTCCCGATAAGCCCCAGGCTTCAGTTTAGGGCCCCTCTCCCTGCAGCACGTGCCTACCCACTCCCAGGCTGAGGACACAAACCTGCTTGCCCCTGGGCCACACTGTCCCGGCCAGGAAGGGCCCCTGCGGCAGAGCCACTGTTTCGGGCTGGCTGGCCCAGACCCCTTCGAAGAAGATGTTCCCAGCTGACTGCAGCCACATTTGAGGGTCCCCGCCACCACCATGGGGAGAGGCAGGTGGCTGAGGTGGCTGGGGAGGGCGAGTGACACGGGGTTTGTGCTTCCCCCACGGCACCTGCAGGCTGGCTGTGGACCCTCACAGGCAGTGAGGGGCGAGTCTGCTCTGACCCCCACTCTCGGGGCAGCCTCCGAGGTGCCTGTTCCTGAGGCTGCCCACCAAGGAAGTGGCCAGGCTGCCCACGGTGTGTGTGTGTGGGGGGGCTGGGGGGGCGGGGAACCGAGACGCTGAGACGCACACAGGCTCTGACCTGAGAGAATTCTTTTTATTACGAGTGAACAGATGAACTAAGGTAAGCGGGTCTCAGCCTTCTGCTGGTGCAGCATCTCCACGCAGGGCCTCAGCCCCGTCCTGGCCTTGCCTGAGGACTGCACCATGGGCGTTCCCTGGGCATGGAGGAGGCAGCAGGAAGGGGCGACAGGAGCAGGTGCAGGGCACCCCACACCACAGGCCTCCCCCACCTCTGAGCTGCCAACAGCCAAGACTCCTGGCAAGGCCAGGAGAGGAGGGGGTGAGAGGGAAGGAGGGGTCTCTGTGAAAGCAAGCCCCACCCCCAAAGCAGAGCAGAGACCCAAGTCTGCAAATCACACCCTCCTGGGGGAGACGCCCCCACCAAGTTCCTCCTTTGAGGCCAGCAGCACCCGAGGGAGGGCAGGGGCTGCACGGAGACCAGAGAAAGGAAAACCCCACAGAAGAAAACTCAAAGCTTCAGTCCCACGCGTGTCTGCTGAACGAGCGAACGGGCCCAAAGGCTCTTCTCTACAAACGGCACGCATCCATCCAACAGGGGGCCGCAGGACATGGCCGGGGCTGTCTGCGTCTGTGCAGCCCACACCAGCGCAGCCCGGGGCCCTCTCAGACCTCACCACACGTGTGCCAAGCACATGTGTGCACACGCAGATGCAGGAGAGGACACACACCACCGTCTTTTTGCACACGTGCGCCCCTGTCCAGCCCGGGTGGCTCATCTCTCCTTCACGTGGTTCTGTGCTCCCGGGCCCCCGCTGCCGGCCCCATCCCCGCTGCCCCCACTGTGGACCCCGCCGGCCCCGCTGCATAGCACCTCGGTGAGGTCGTCCATGATGGCGGTCTCTTTGGGGTCCAGCAGGTTGAACTCCCGAGCAAAGAGGATGAAGTGGACGTAGAGTGTGTTCAAGTGTCCGTGCAGCTCCAGGGCCAGCGTCTCCTTGAAGTGGGCCCAGTAGATGTGCGCCAGCACGTGGAACAGGTGTCTGCAGATCTTCCTCACCAGGGACTCAAAGGAGCTGGGGAATTCTCTGCCTGGGGGAGGCCACTGTGTCACAAGCTGCAGATGTCCCTTGGCCCCAACAGAGGCCAGGCCCCTGGCACCCATCCTGGTGGGTCTGGTGCCTGCCACCCACATCCTGACCCTGCCACCCACATCCTGACCCTGTCACCCTCGGGGCTACGAAGTCCCAACAGCAATAGCTTCTGCCCACCAGCAGGCACAACAGGGACTTGCCAACCCCAGGTCCGGGCTGCTGAGACCTCCCTGTGAGCTCAGGCTCCGGAGGCTGCACCTGCCCTGAGGGCTGGGCGCTCGCTGGGCCATCCTGGCCACCTCCTCAGGGAGGGGCCTGTGACTGGGCACTTGGGCCCCCGTGTCTCCCTGATGGACACCTGGGGCCCTCTCTCGGGCCAGGATGGAGGTGGCAATGGTGGCACAGGCTTCTCCTGTTGTCCCCTGCTGTCCCTCTGGCAGCATGGGAGTGGCGTGGAGCCCTACTACATCCCACCAAAATCTGGACACAGGCTCCGCAGCTGATCCCCAGCCCAAGCCACCAGCACAAGGTGGACGGTGGTCTCTGCGTGAGCGGCACAGACCAAGAGGGGCCCAGAGCAGTGGCATGGCCCAGAGGGCCAGGGAGACGGCCCTCGGCCCTGACTGGGCTGACTCCTGCCCAAGGGCTCCGGCCTCACCTCACAGCCCAGGGGACTCCATGCTAAGCAGGGGCTGGGGTGGTGCAGCTGCCGCCCTCCGTGCCTCTGCCCCTCGCAGCACAGCGGTTTGGTCCTGAATGCTCCCTGCACCCCCGCGAGGATGACCGCCCAGTGCTGGGGGAGACGAACCGTATTTTGTGGGGAACACGTCCTCATCCGTCACCAGCTTCTGCACAGAGCTCATGACGAAGTCAACGTACTGCGGGGCCGTGCACTTGACCTTCTTCCCCCGCTCGTCATACCAGTAGTACTGTCTGTGGGGACAGAGACACGGTCAGGGCATGTGCCTGCTGCACACCCACCCAGCCAGCGAGTCCCTCCCGCTCAGGTCATCTGCAGGCAGAGGCAGCGCCAGCAGCAGAGGTGTGGCGGACTCCGGCGTCTCCCTGCTCGGGCAGACACACTGTCCCCGCCGTCTGCGGGGACCACACTGCCCTCCATGGAGGGGTCTGCCTGAGCTGACTTAGAACGACGCCGGGATCACGCTGGGGACCCTGCCAGTCACACGGCTGTACACGCGTGTGATTAAATGAAAGGGATCATCTTCATTTTCTCCACTTCTAAATGGCTTCAGTTGTATTCATTCACGCAAATGTGTGCTGCTGTTTTTCTGTTGCATTAAGCACAGAGGCTCCTTCTCTGCCCAGGAAGCTGTGCTGTGGCTCGTCAGCCAGGCCCCACCCTTTGGGAGCGCCCCGCTCTGACTGCTAGAAGCCAAGTCCCTCTCCGGGGAAGCCAGGCAGTGCAGTGGCCTCTGTGGCACCTGCAGTCCACAGACTGGCCAGGACAGGGACCAGCCCCGGAAGGCCCACCCCGAGGCCTCCTCTTGCCCCTGTACACAGGGCTGCCAGTCATCAGACTCGTGGCCCCTGAGCAGGCTGGAGCATCCTAGGGACATGGACACCCTGGGTTTGCCTCTTACTGTTTGTTGGGTACAACCATGACAACAAGGGTGTGCTCTAGTTCATGTAAACATAAGGTGATACCCAGCCCCTAACACCCTTCCAGCCCCAGCACACAACCAAGACCCAGGGCACCCACCTGGTCGCCACCACCCCTCTCCCCCTGCCATGGTGGTGGGCCTCAGTCCTCCAAGGCCATGCCCACAGCGGCTGCCCCCGCAGGCCTGAACCAGAGCATCTGGGGCCAATACCCACCCACAGGCAGTGGAGAGTGCTGTGTTGGGAGTGCTTACACCTGAGACACAGCGGCTGCCCCCGCAGGCCTGAACCAGGGCATACTGGGCCAATGCCCACCCACAGGCAGTGGAGAGTGTGTTGGGAGTACTTACACCTGAGACATGGCCAACACTATGGGTCGGGGTTTCCTCCCCGAGAGCCAGCTCCCAGCTCACCCCAGGTGGGAATGGGCCACACAGCACAGGGCAGCACTGGCCACTGGGCAAACGCCCCTCCACACCGAGACCACAACCACCATCGCCTCCACCGCCCCAGCTAGACCAATGGGCAGCCTCCCAGTACTGGGCTCCACACGAACCGCTCCCACCCTCCTCATCCAGCCACGGTTCCTCTTGGAATGGCCCCGGGTGGGGCAGTGCCGAGAAGGATGGATCCAGGCTCCACTCCGGAGGCCGTTCGTCTCTTAGCCGGCTCCGAGCATCGTGCCCTGGGTTCCAGAGCCCACCAGGCACCTGGGGAGATGCCCCAAGGGCTGAGACGGGGCCACTGGGGGTTCACCCACTTCCCGCACAGCCAGAGAAGCCATCCTTCCAGCTGGACACAGGACCTCCGCTGTCTCTGGGCACCCCTCTGCTGTGTCCAAGAAGCCCCTCAGCCTGTGCACTGCAGGTACCAGGGGGGTCACCAGAGTTACCAAGAGGCTAGAGGATGACACTGCAAGCCCTGCATGCCGGCACTCCGCCCTCTGCAAGAGAAACAGCCACCAGGCCACCTCCCAGCACCACCAGGGCCCTGGGACAACCCCTCCCAGCACCCACCTCCAGAACGCAAACCAGCTCTCACGTGTGCCCTATGTGGGGCTGAGTCGGGCCACCCGAAGGGGAAGTGTGGCCCCAAAATGGACAGGCCACGACGAGGGGGACGCAGTGCCCACCCCTGCTTCTCAGGTGCCATCCTCGCCCTGGGGCAGCTCTGCATGACCTTCGCGCCCACCTGCCCAGGCTGTAGGCCTCACCGTGGGCATCGCCACTGGGCTGTCAGACCCTCTGAGAATGCAGAGACGACAGTCCTTTCAGTATCTGCTCCTCGAGAACCATGTGGAGAACGCACATATCCCCACTGTCCCGGGGTTCCCAGATGGTGTAGCGGAGGCCCAGGCCCCTAAGGGCCAGGCTGAGGCCCATGTTTCCAGGACGAGGACCCAGTCAGCACGGCCCAGCAGTCTGCAGGAGTCAGACACTGGCTCCAGGGACCCTGACACTGACCACTGACATCTGACGCACCTGGCCACAGGAATACAACAGGTCTCAAAACAGTGGAGGTCAGAGATGGAAACCCTTTTCCACGATGCAAACCAACAGAAAGTAGCAACTGAGGGACACTGCAGATTGTCCCATCTGTTCTGAAAAATGGAACACCACCGTTTCCTGTACTTTTTGAATTATCAGTAAACCGTTTATGGTATACAGTTCTATGAATTTTATCCACACATGGACTCACGCATTCAAGACCACAATCAGGACACGCAGCGGCTTACGTGGCCACTCACAGCCGTGCTGCTCTGTCCCCAGCACCCCGGGGGTGGCTCCTCAGGAATGGGCCGCAGGAAGGAATCGCACCGTGAGGGTCCTCCCGATCTGGGCCCCTCTTGCACGCAGGAGGTCCCTGGGACGCAGTCACGTGGCGGGAGTGTTGGGCGTCCACGGCTCCTCGCTGCCCAGATGCTGCCCCTGCAGACGGACATGGCGTGCTCATCTATTCACCTGTGTCCCTGCCAGCAGAACACAGTGCCAGGTAGCCACACCCTCGCCAGCACCAGTGTCCCGACCGGCATGTGAGCAGCCGGACATGGGTCTGCTCCTGGCTTCAGTTTGCCTTTCTCTGATTGCCAATGACACACGATTGCCCCGGCTGCCATCCTCACACCCTCTTTGCTGAACTGTCTGCTCATTTCTTTTGCTGACAGTTAACTGGACTGTTTTGTTTTCTTATTGCTGAGTTGTATACGTTCTTTATGTATTCTGGATATCAGTCCTTTGTGGGATGTGTGATTTGCAAATGTTTTCTCTCCCAGCCTGGAGTCTGTCTTCTTTCTCTTAAAAGTGTCTTGAAGCAAAAGTTCTAAATTTTGATGAAGTCCAATTCATTGGTTCTTTTCCATCAATGGATCGCATCTTTGGTGTCAATCCACGAACTCTTTGCCTAATGTCAGGTCGTGAGGATTTCCTACGGTTCCTTCCAAAAGCTTTGTAGTTTTAGATGTTTGCATGAGGCATGAGGGTTAGGTCCGCGTTTGGTTTT